ATTATTCGTTTTTCGTCATTTTTCCTACTTCGTCATTTTTCCTATTTTGTCTTTTCCCTATTTGTCACCTTGTTGGCATAACCACACTTCCTGTGTTCTAAGTTGGTTTTTTACTTTACGCATCTTCATTCTATGTGGTTTTCACGAAATACGTATTTTTACTTTTGTAGAAAGGTACTCTGGTTACTCCCGGTGTCCAAATGCACAGTTCTTTATAAATATTCTTATTTCTTGGGGGTGATTTTCATAAATATCTTTTGAAGATATTTATTTTAGGGATTTTTAAGAAAATATCTTTTTGGAAGATATTTTCATTCTGGGGCAGTTTCGCAATTTTTACTTTTTGAAGGGGCCATTGTGCAATTAATGAAAGTTATTGCTAAATGCCTTGTTTTGAGCCTGGATCCCCGTACGAGATTCATTGTCACTTTTCGTCGAGTTGCATACTCTTAGAATTTCCTTCTGGTCATTTTTCTCTCGTTTCAGAGTTTCTGGCCCGAGTTGCTGCCAAACTTATTTGGGGCATATCTCTCTGCTTGGGACTCGGTTTTCGACGCTGTTTCTTCCGTTGTTCATCTTTTCTCATTTTGGTTCTTTTTCGTTAACGGAGTTTTGTCGTTTGAGCGCATCTGCTCGAAATCCACTTTTCCGGACCTGGTAGGGCCCTTTCGGGGCACTTTTAGGGTTTTTCTATAAATATGAAGTCTTAAGAGAAAAAGTTATATTTTTCTCTCTCTTTCCTCTCTCTTGGCCGGCAGCCAAGGGGCTGCCACCCTTCTCTCTTCTTTTCCGGCCACTTCCCTTTAGTAAAAAGGTGTAATGCCTTAATGTTTTATGCTCACCTTGACTACGCGCATGAGCAAGTGAAAGTAGTCTTGTGTTAGTCATCAAGGTACACAGGGATTTGATTATAGCCAGAGTAACCATCTAAGAAGCAATAGAATGACTAACAGGCCAATTTCTCTAACATTTGGTCAATAAATGGTAAAGGAAAATGATCCTTCCGAGTTACACTATTGAGCTTTCGATAGTCAATGCAAACTCGCCACCCTGTTGGACACGAGTATGAACTAACTCATTGCGATCATTAGGAATGACAGTAATGTCGAACTTCTTAGGAACCACTTGGACTGGACTTACCCACTGGCTATCAGAGATTGGATATATGATACCGGCATCAAGAAGTTTGATAACTTCAGTACGAACAACTTCCTTCAAGTTAGGATTCAGTCTCCTCTGGGGTTGCCTACAGGTTTTAGCATCGTTCTCCAAATGAATATGATGTTGCACCACTAAAGGACTAATGCCTTTGATATCATCAATAGACCAACCTATTGCTTCTTTATTCGCCCTAAGCACCTCAAGTAGCTGGGTCTCTTGGTGATTGGTTAGGTCAGATGCGATCACCACAGGAAAAGTATTAGATTCACCTAGGTAAGAGTATTTTAAAGTCTCAGGGAGAGGCTTTAATTCAACCTTAGGGGACTCTTTCACTGTTTCAAATTTAGGGTTATTTGGTGAAGACAATGATTCAAAGTGGAGTCGGTACTTGGGTGTATCAAAGATTGGAGTGGAATCTAACAAGGCATTGACCTCACCAATATAATTATCCTCATCAAAATCAGCACCAAAATATGCTAGACACTGGTGGAGTGGATCCTCAGGGTAGGATTGCTCAATGGTTTTAGCGGTCAATGACTTAACGAGACAAACTTCTTCAACAGAATATGAGTCGGGGGGTTGTTTCATCAAACTAAACACATTCACTTCCACTTTCACATTTCCAAAGGTTAGGGTCATGTTCCCATTTCGACAATTGATCAATGTATTAGCGGTACCTAAGAATGGTCAACCTAAAATGATGGGAATTTGTTTACTGTGAGTAGGTTAGGTGTCTAGAACAATGAAGTCAACTGGATAATAAAAATCTACCACTTTGATAATCACATCCTCAATGATACCCCTTGGAATCTTAACTGATCGATCAGCTAATTGGATCCTAACATCGGTTTTCCTCAAATTGTTTAATCCTAACTCTTGGTACACATAACAAGGTAACAAGTTCACACTAGCACCTAAATCTAACAGGGCCTGGTCAGCAAAAGTTTCGCCAATCCTACAAGTGATAGTCGGACTACGAGGATCTTTATGTTTGACCACAGCTTGGTTTTGTAAGAATGAGGAACAATGTTGGGTTATGAAGGCTTCCTTCGAGATGTTGGTTTTCCTCTCGACTAAGTCTTTGATGAACTTTGCATAAGAAAGAATTTGCTTAATGATAGTGAGAAATGGAATATTAATTTGAAGATTTTGAAAATTTTCTGAGATCTCATTGTATTGTGAATCCTTTTTATTGTTAACCAGTCGGGAAGGGAAAGGTGCAGGTGGAACATATGGTGAAAGAATAAGATTATCAATTTGAGAATCTTGGTCCTTTTTGGCTTTTGGAGGGTTTGATGGACGAGACTCTGATGGCTCAGGTTCATGTTGGGTGGGTAGTTAAACCTTATTATCAATTTGTTTCCCTGACCTAAGCGTGATGATGGAATTCATATGACCATTTGATTGGTCAGTGGAAGAGGAAGTTTCAATGTGATGAACCCCTTTGGCTTAAGGGTTGATTTCAGGTTGGCTAGGTAAGGTACCTCTTTGTCGTTCAGACAAAACTGAAGTGAGTTGACTTAACTGATTTTGCATGGACTGTTGGAATTGCAGTTGGTTCTGAGTCAAAAGGTCAAAGTGACTTTCTAGCTTTTGAATTCTCTAATTAGATTGCTTATTTGATTGGTCGAGATTAAGGGCAAGCATTTTTAGAGTGTCCTCGTAGTTGGAAACATGTTAGTTCTGTGGGACAGGAGGAACATAATTGCTCATTGGATCAAGTGCGAGATCACGATTATTACTCAGTTGGGTGTTTGATGGGAAGTGACTTTGAGGAACGAGCAAACCTTGAGATTGAGGTTGCCTATTGGAATTACCTTAGAAACTGGGTTGGCCACCTAAGTTTTAGGGAGGCAAATTTTGTCGTCAAGAAAAATTAGGATGGTTTCTAGTATCAAGATGGTAAGTTTGGCTAAAGGTATTAGCCGTAAGTCTTCTATAGGTATTAAAGGCACACATTTGAGCATCTAAAGGTTTAGAGGTAGAATAGACAGGATATGCTTCAGTAGGATGAGATGAACTAGAACACACATTGCATTGCGCATTTGTGGACATGAGTGCAAAAGTATCAAATTTTTTTGTCAAGTCTTTTACTCCTTCAGTTAGACTGTGCATCACAGATTTTAATTCATTCTCAGATTTAATCTCATACCAAGAAGATGTTTTATTGGTTTGGTCATTCCTAGAAAATTCATCAGTATTCGAATTCCAATTTTGGGCATTCTCAGCTAGTTCCTCTAAGAATGTGTAGGCTTGGTTAGGGGTTTGGGCCTTGAATTTATCTTGGTGCATAGACTCGATCATAGTGCGGTTCAAAGGTGAAAGCCCCTTACAAAAAAATTGAACTAGCTGGGCTTTATCAAAGCCATGGTGTGGGCATTTAAGAATTAAATCATGAAAATGCTCCCAAGTTTGGTGAAATTGTTCCTCATTTTCCCCTCTAAAATTGCTTATGGAATCTCTCATTGACTCTGTGTTTTGCATGGGATAAAATTTGTTCATGAATTTCTTTGCAAGTTCATCCCATGATCAAATAGAATTTGGAGAAATGGAGTTTAACCATGAGGTAGCCTTATCTTCTAAGGATAAAGGAAAGACACGCAATTTGACACCCTTTTCATTCAAATTCTGGTTTTTGAAAGTGTTGCAAATAGTTAAGAACTTGCCTAAATGGATATAGGGTTGCTCACTATCAAAGCCATGAAATTTGGGTAAAAGGTGGATCGTAGCAGGTCTAATCTCAAACTGGAGTGCTTCAGTTGCAAGGAGAACTATGCAATTGGGTGGGTTGGCTGTGATGGGTGCAAAATAATCATTCAAAGTCTTAGATTCAGCCATTGGAAATTGATGGGTGGTTGAAGAGAGCATAAGGGGTTTCTCAAACTCAAAGAGTGAATGATCACTAGAACAACGGATTAAACGTTTGTTACCCCACAACCACTTGGGCATAAACACACAGACAATTCAGTTTTTTTTTTTTTTTTTTTTTAATTTTTTTAGAGAATGAGTCAAGTAAGTTAGATCCTAAAAGAGGGCTATACATGGGACAGAACACACAAACCATACAAAAAAAAAATTGGCTTTTTATCTTGAGCTGAAATTCAAGGGTGATGAATTTTTTAATCTAATCATAAAAAGAATTAATAGGATGGTATCCAAATTAATTCTCCCTAATTAGACAACTCCTACTCCTTTCCAGATTTAAGTTGAGAGATTACCAGTTAAGGACCATCAACCTAACAACGGAGTAGTTCCTAGGAAAGAGTGGAGAGGCTCTTGGCCTGCTTAATGACGGTTCGTCCACCCTCCTAGTCTGGCCTACCGTTTATCAATTTGATAATTGCGCACTGGAGTTACTAACAACCGCGTCCTTCCCAGAGGGCCTATGAGTTCGTAACCCTAGAAATGGGTGATGTTTAAATGAATTTTAATTAAATTCAGAGAATTTGACAAATGCTCGAATTTTGTGATTTATGGATCACAGAGACGGGTGATGAAATCCCAACCATATCTTGTTGAGGTTCTGCCCTTAAATAGCTTATGCAAATGCTAATTAAAATATGCACAGGCAAAACAAACAATAAAAAGAAAAAAGGGAGTGGAGTGTGTAAATTTTCTTCCTTCTCTTTTTTTTAAGATAAATAAAAAAATAATAATAATAATAATAATAAAAGTAAAAATAAAAATAAAATGAAAAAAAGTGTGAAACTAGGGTTATTTCTAAGTTATTCTATCCTAGAGTTCGCATGCAAAAATTATACACCTAAAAAAAAACTTTGTTTACCTAATCTAAAAAAAATAAAAAAATAAAAAAACCCTGGTGCAAATGAGATACTTACCTGGAAATTTGTCTTTTTACTCCAATAAGAATAACCAAATATTGAATGCTCCCAAATAAGTACCCAATCGGATTCAGCATTTTTTTTTAAAGAACTGATTGACAACTCAAGATTGTTAAACTGGTTTAGAATCTGGTTCAGTTCCTGAATGAGGACAATGCTACACTTGTAGCCAAACAGACCAAATATGGTACTGTATATATATCGATACGGCATGTCCCAAACAGAGAAACTCCGCAACGATGATGATGAGGTTGCACGACGATGAGCACGGTGATATCCGGCAAAGCGTGACGACCAACAAGGATTCCGGCGGGACTGAACCGGTGATAATTAACGGCAGGTAAGGATCCACAATTCCGGCTACAAAGACCAGCAACTCCGGCGAAAATCAGAGACGATAACGGCGAGGATGGAGGACGGAACGGTGAGTAAAACGCTGATGGGCGGTTGTTGTTTTAAGGTGGTGATTTTGGGTTTTGTGAATTGGTGGTGGCTGTTCTTGGTAATTGAAGGAGGAAGGTGAGGGCTTGGGTGTTGGGTTGCTTTTACACAGTAGTTTTGGATGGTGGTGATGGAGGGATTTTGGTGTGGCAAAGAAGATGATGGGGGTAAAGTAATTTTTTATTTTTTATTATTTTTTTTTTTTAATTGGGGTGTGGCTGAAGGTGATCGGCTGTGATGATGGAGATGGGTAATAATGCCTTTTACATGCCACTTTCCTGGAGAGAAGAGAAGAGAAAAGGAAAAATTAGGAAGAAAAAGAAAATAATATAAAAGAATTACCGGAGAATGCATTTTTTGTTTTGTTTTTATTTTTATTTTTTTACAAAATCCTACTCAAATAAAATAAATAACAATAAAAATAAGAATTAAAAGAAGGCAAGGGAGGGATAGAAAGTTTGGATGGGCTCCCAAAAATTTTAATCTTGAAGCGGCAACGGCACCATTTGACGAATGTATAATTATGTATTCTGTTGTATTTTTACAGCAAAAATAAGAAAAACCTGCAAAAATTAAATTATAGATGATATAAAATAAGTAAGGTCAAATCATACAAAATCTAAACTCGTAAATCAAAATTAAAACCAAAATTTAAGGAAAAATAACTTTTAAAACAATTTAATGATTTATTACTAATAAACTAAAAATAAAATAAATAAATAAGATGAAATAAATTCTGATCAACTAATAGGAAAAATCTCAAGGAAAAGATCCACCACCACAGCTTATTATAAATAAATTTGTATATTTCTCTGTATATAAATTTTCTTATTGTAAGCAAATCACTCCACCAGTCCAATTACAACTTGGAAAGATGAAGGAAAATAATAGCGTGAAATAATAATAATTGCTTGAGAACATATTTTACTTAATCTTATAAAATAAAAATACAGAATAGAAGAGTAAAATAATACTCTAAAGAGGAAATTTCATAAAAGAATTAAACTAAATTTACTTATATTCAGCCATGGTGGCTTCCTCACTCCCTTGAGGAAATTAAAATAATCTTCATAACAAAAATTATAAGAAATAAATTGAACACAAAAATTCTCTAACTTTTATTATTTTCTATCACTCACAATGTACATCTCTCTTCCTCTATATATGTCCCTATTTATAGAGTTTAGAATGGAACGATCGGGAGGAAAAAATTCTAATTACAGAAGTAAAAATAAAATAAAATCTTCTTAAAATCTTCCTACTTTCCAATTTGGCTTGATATCTTTGACTTGACGTGCTTTCCAATCTATCTGGATATATTTTCAATTTGGCTTGATCTTTGCTGATTTGATGAAAAGTCAAATTTGAATTTGACTGATCGTATAATCTCATAAACTTGTTATTTTGCCTCTTTTATTCTAATTCTGATATTAGCCCCTATAAAACATGAAAAGTAGGGATAAGAACATTAATCTAATAAAAAATATCAATTAATCATTTATTATATAAAATAACAATTTTTGTGCACTTATCAAAAGGGAAGGACTGTCACTAACTATCATGGAATTGAAGCCAATGACAGTCCTACGGTGTCTGTGGGAAAGCGTTACAGTCATTTGTGTCGAAATTTTCGTGAAATTTCATCTTTAGTTTCAGAACACGAGAAGTTATATATATATGCAAACGAACATTCTCTTGTGTTGCTTAATGACCTAGAGGAGATGAAGAAATAACTTTACTTGAACAATTTAAGTGGTGACGGAAGTTCAATTCGTCGAAATGAGCAAGTTGAAATGATAGCTCCAACTAACAATTGTGTGCCCATAGGAGTCAAAAGAAAAGCCACGGTTGGACGCGCACGTAGTCGACTAAATGGTGCACTTGAACGACGAAGACAAAAATCTATTGCCAAAACCACCAAAGTTTCAACAAGACAACAAAAGGCCACAAAAGTTTGCTTTGAAACTTATATATTAATTAAATATGTGATTTTTTGTTGTACTTATTTTCTTTTATTTTCACTAAATGCTATAGAAGCATGTTTCCAGTACTTACGAGTTACAAGAACAACAAACTGGACATGGAGTTGTTCAATAAACATTTAATAATTTGACTCAAGTAATACACTTTTGATTTCCCATTATATGTTTTTCTCTATGTTTTCTTATTCCATATAATACTAGTTTCCTACCATACCTTTTTTCTACAATATGATTTGTCATTTAAATTTGGTGCTCACAGAACTATTATCATATTGGCCATGGAATGCCTTCCGTAATGCAGTCGAGGGTGAACTCTAATGAAATTTTTGGAGAAACCACAAATTGGCTATCCGATATGACTTTTACTCAATTATTTCAGGTAACTTGTCCTTCTACCATTATTATTCATACTCTTAAAGAAAAATAAGTTATAGATTTATTTATATTAACTACTTTCTCATTATTTTTATTTTTTAATGCTTATAGGAATCAATGAAACATTATAGTAACCTTCCACAAAGTGCAGAAGAAAACAACAAGCTAAAAAATATCCCTTATACTCCATTAATCTAAGGATTGTTTGGAGATTGAGCAACGTGTGCATGTGTTATTTTATTTTATTTTTTTGTGATTGTAGCTGGTTATTAAATTTTATGTATCCAAGAAGTAGGCTTTTTTGTGACTTTGGATAGGATGAAGAGAAGTCACTTCTTTGGTTTTTGTGAATCAAATTATTATTCTGTGTCATTGCTTCTCTTTCAGTGGAACTCTTTGTTTATCTGTATTTATTTTGAATCAGATTATTATTGTCTTGGGGGCAAAGCACAATCAATGCAAAAAAAGCCGGTTCATCTTTCAAACAATTTATGTATTTATGCACTCACTTTGTCTATGACAAATCACTAGACTGCATTCCATGGCTAATTTTTTTAGTCCAGTGTCATTACTCAAATTTTTATTAATTTGAGTATACATTGTACAAATAAGGTAGAAATCGTAAAATTGAGTGAAAAAAAAAAATAACTTTCATATATAGCATGCAAAAAAAACAGTTGAGAAAGATTTTAAAAAGAGAGAAATAGAAACGGTTAGTTTAATTTTTTTTAAGGATAGTTTTCTATCTTAAAAAAAATTAAAAATAAAAGAAAAGGGTAGGAAAGACAATTTTCTATGAGTTAATTAAAATTAGAGTTCAAAGTTGATTGTGAAAAAAAATTAGATCTATCGGGTTTAACCATAAAAAATGGGTAACCCATGTTTTGTATTTTTTTTTTAATTTTAAAAGAGGTGTCTACTTCTTATTGGGACACGTTAGTGTGCATAACATAATCCGTCTTTGTGGGACATGACTGAAGCATCGTTCAATCAGTATTGCATACAATAGGAGTACTAGTCAAAGTTTAACACGTACTCCCACTTTTTATGTCACTTTATATGATTATTGTTAATGCTTGAGGCACAAGTTTAGAAAGCGAGTCATACAGAGAAAAGGCAAAACTTTCCCTGAGTACAGTAAGCTAAAGTTCATCAAATCCATTGGATCCATATGATCACACTACTTGTGATGGCTGACTTTTTCTTAGAGATCTAGAATGCAAAAAATAAAAAACTAGAATTAGTCCATGGTCATATTTTTTGGAAACTTGTGGCCCAAGTATGAGCAATTTCTTTATTTGATTTTATGTGGGAAAATAAGAAGAAGAAATAGGTTTAAAATAAAATTCGAAAACAGTGTTAAAAAACTCTACTAACACTCATTAAAATATGTTTTGAAAACTATATTTTATCTTTAAAATGTATGACAATTTATTTCAATGTCAATATTTAATAAAGCTCAGACTTAAATGTTACCGCTCCATTTATCGTCTTCGTTGTGGTTACGTAGTACGACCAAAACTGAAGTTGCATACTTAAGAAATGGAGATGAATGTCCCAACTCAACAACTAGAATGACCATAAAGATCGAGCAATGTGTGATACCCCTTGATTTTAGGGCCACGGGTGATCAAATCCGAGCACAGATCCAAGGGATATCAAATAATTAAAGTATTTAACAAGCATTTGAATACAAGAAGAATAATAAGAAATAATAAATAAAGCTGAAAGAAACAAAAATAATAAATCCTTGAATTAATAAAATAATCCTCCATAAAACAATTCCAGTCCTCTGATACCATTATAACTTGAGAATCCATCATGTGGACCCCTAATAAAACTAACTAAAAGAAAACTGAAAGGAAGATAATATAGATAGAACCCTACGTCAAGTCGGTAGAGTGATGATGATTGTCTCTGCTCAGTACAAATAATCCCTAAGCCTGAATCCGAAGAACACCTGAAAAATAATAGTGGGTCAGGCCCACTAACAAGTTATACGTACTCTACTACAATCCAATCAGATACCCGATACACGTATACATCTTAGTCTACCCAAAAATATCTAATAGTCCGTATATATACATATATATATATACACACAGATGCACTAAAGGAACCTCACTAGACTATAGGGTTGCCTCAACCTAAATAATAGACAACATGCAAAATGCACATATAGTGGGCATAAGTACTTAGATCTACCAGGGCACACAACTACACTATATCTAGCTACACATCCCTAGCAATATACGCGCTCTAACCACTAATCCTGAGACTCAAATACATATCATGACATATAATAACATATAGGAAATCCTACCTGTCTAAAACTTTAAAATAAATATTTATTATGTCATCCAATTTAATTAGTGCTCCGACATGAAAATAAGTAGGATTTAACTTTCTAGTAAATCCGTTCCCTTATAAATCCGAATAGATAGGACTTAACCTTTTAGTTAATCCATCCTTAGAGTGCCACCATCCCATACTGGTGCTTTACATTCATACAATGATGCAAATAAATATAAATACATAAAATAGTCCAACATAAACATGATAAAAATCATATATATAATTCTTGCATAAAAATAAGCAATAAAACAGTTCTAAGTAGCATGCATTTAATTTACAATATTAGAAATTAACATGCATCTCAAATAGACTGATTAAATCTCCACAACATGATTAAACTATTTAAATCCAATTATGTGATTAAATTAGTTTAATGTCATCCATTAATTTTTATTTAATTGAATCCATATTTACCATATTATTGAATATCATGCCTTCCAGTAATTTATTGGGCTAATTTTAGACAGAGGTTATTAAAATAGTCCCAAACACACCATAAGTGATGAACTCCAAAAATTCCTACGCTGGGCAAATTAGTCAATTTGTTTTTCCCCAGACGTTGATGGGAAATCGTATTAGAGGTGGTACATATACTAAAAAAGTTGTCTATAAGGAGATTCTCTAGTCTGAAAGG